ATAAAAATTATATTTTTTTAATCATAATAATCCTAAAATAATCAAATTAAAAAATATATATTATATTAAATATTAATGTGCTATTATGATCTTTAATTGATATATCTAAAGAAATTTTTTCATAGATAATATCTATAAAAGAAAATAAACAACCATCTATGATTTCTACATGTACAGATTTAATTTTTATAATTATAGATATTTTATTTTTTGACAAAGTCTTTATTTGTAAAACAAGCTAAGGCTCTTGAATCTAATAATGTAAAGACCTTATGATTTTTAGGTTCTAAATAAATCTATTTTTAAATAAGATAAAAGATCTAAAGAGAAAATATGACCTTTACTAGGTATTGTACATGATTTCAGCCACATGTTTTCTATTATAGCTAAAAAAAACTTTTTTTTAACATATAATCTTTTTTTAGTAATCATGCTTCTTATTTTGTTATTATATTATTTTTTTTGATAATATTGAGTAATATTCTTAGCTTCTCTATAATATAAGTATAAACCTTTCTAAAGACATCAAGTCTTTTCTTGCTCTATGAAGAATTTAAAATATATCATATTAATTTGCATTCATTTTATATTTGTTGAATAAGTTTATGAAAACTTAAGAGCTATTTTTGTTACTTGGTTTGTTTTTCTTTAGCCAAGTCATTATTCTTAACATCTTTTAAATAATCAATTATCGCATGGAATATCTTGAAGAATAAATTATTTCAAAGATTTTGCTTTCGACATTATCAGTAACAAATCTTTAATATTATCCTTCAACTCATATTGAAATTGATTGATAAAGGGTTTGTTATTCTAATCTATGTCACAAGCAATGTTTTGGAATTTAGCAGTATATATGATAATCAACCATGATCTTTGTTGAAAAGATAAGATATAGATTTTTGTTGCTTTTTTTTAATCACTTTTTTTGAATGTGGCCGTAAATACTTTTAGAAATGAATTCAAATCATAAAGGAGTCATGAATCTTTTTCTATCAAATGTACAAACCAAGAGAGAAAACTTTTAGATAGAAGTATGCTTATGAATCAAACTTGAGTAAATCCATAAGGATATTAGAAAGAATGCAACTTTAGATATGACTTGATTTCTTGTAGAAATCCTTGAAATTTTGATCTTGTTCCATTAAACATTTCAAGCATACTAATCATTATCTCCATGGTAATTGTGGAAGCAAATGTTTTTGGATTTGTTTATGAAATTGATCTACTTGCTTTCTTTAACTATACAACTTCTTTATATAGACTTTGAACTTCTTCCATAGGCATTGGATTAGTATTTTTGTGGTTGATGCTGATGATGGATGAAATTTCTACCTTAAGAGTATTGACAAGTTTGTAAAGATCTACAATAGTTACAAATCTACTCTCACTTTTGCCAGGTATAGCATCTATGATTTTTTCTTTTATTTCAAACAACTTAACAAATCCACAAGTCAAATTAGAGGAGGATAATCTATAATCTTCTAATATGAAATAAAAAAATTCACAAAAAGGATAATATATTATCTTTAAAGAAAAAAATAGTGTTAAAAAATTAAATAATTTCTTAAAAGGTGGATAATTTGTAACCTTCAAAATATAATAATAAAAGTAGAATAATCCACTCACTTCTAAAACAAGATAAGAATAATAAGTTAATATTCTTATCAAACTGTCAAGGACATAAATCTCGAAGGAAAGAAATCCTTAATATATTCTTATGATTCTGAAAAAGACTTAGAAATGATTCAAAGATGGTAATCTATTGAACTAAAATGCCTATTGTTAAAGACAAAAAGACTAGAAAGTCTTGAAACAACACTAGAAATTTTTGCCACAATATTGATAGTAATACTATTACTTTATAGCATGCTTTATAGACATGATTTATTTACCTAAATCCTAAATCCTAAACCCTAAATCCATGAATAAGATAAAAGTTCAAAAATTAAGTCACTAATTAAACCATAAAAGATATTAATTATAAAAGATTCATTTGCTTTATTTTATTTTTGTTTGTTTGTTTGTTTTGTTTTATGGTTTAGATTTTTTTTAAATTATAATAATTTTTAAAAAAATCTTCTACTAAGTTGTAATTGTCTTCTAAATCTTATCTAAGTAATAACTTTTTATTAAAATATAATGTTCTTAATTGAAGGTGTATACAAAAGAAGTCATATCCATAGGATCAAATAAGATAATTCACTTATTTTCTTCTATTCTAACATAATTTGCTTAGAATTAATATATCACCTCAAAAAAAATATCAAATCCTATTTTATACAAATCTATCTACTTATTGGATTTTGGAAGGGCATTGTCATATTGAAGTATTTTTTTTTATAACATTAAAAAACAAATACAAAAAAAAATATCAAATAACATCATAAAGTAAATGAATGTGATAAGTGGACATAGCTTCATTAGTAGTAAGTGGTGACATTGGCCCTTTGAAGACGTTTTTAATAAAAGAAGATCTATTTGAGTATAATATAGTAATTTAATGAGGTTCTAAATGAGAGTCAATAAAAAATAATTGAAGATTCTACCATAAGAAGAAGTTCTTTATATTATGAAAGGTAGAAGGATAGTTGAGTTAAAATAAGTCATACATATGTGATCAAACCTTTTTCAATTTTATTCCAAGTTTTAGACTCAATATTCTATTTGTAATATGAAATGAGTAATTGTTGAGTTAATGTTTTTCCTACAAATCTGATTTAGCTAATTTTTTTATATGTTCAAACACCAAGAGATAAACTACCAAATAAGAAAGTTAAGACAAACAAAAGTTTTTATCAATCAATTTAGATTAAAAAAATGTTATAAGAACTTAGAATTTATGACTAAAATCAGTTGATATTTAATTGCAATTGATAAATCTACACTTGTTTAATGTCTATTCTATACTAAATTTAATCTTATTGGTATTGATGTCTACTTTAGCCATCACAATTGTCTTCTTCTTATTTTTTTATAAATTTCTTCAAATTGATAGAAAGTCCAAATAAAAAGCTATTATGCTCTAATATAAATCATTGTGATTATTATTCCAATGATTAACATTAGTTTGCTGGATTTTCAACAATAAAAAAAATCAAACACCAAGTAGGCAATCAAAAACTCAACTTTTTCTTAACTTTGACAATCTCAAGTCATTGAGGCATATCACTTAGGTCTAAAATAGTAAAAAATGTAGTTTGATTTAATTTCCTAATAATAATGCCAAAACTTATTAATTCCAATTTCAGATTTTAGTAATCCAAATTTAATAACCTACTTATTCTTGACAAAGCAATATTATTCCATTTGATTGTTGTCTTTTTGTAAATTGCATTAAAGAAGTTGTAATAATTTACAAGAAATTTTTAATCATTGATTTAATCTCATAAATAGCCTTCATAGAGTTAGTCCAAAATAACTAGAAAAGAAATATAAGGATAAAAGTAAAATGTTGTTTGCAATGATGTCTCAACTTATAATGTTGATTTTGCTTGATTACCATTAGTCTAATTTTTATGTCATTCCATTCATAAAAAAAGATTAATATCTTATATGATTAAAGAAATACTAAATAAAATTCCAAAGAACTTATTAATATGAATATTAGATGCATATGCCCATCCAAATTGATTTAATAAAATCAATTAATTTTTTATTTGAATTACTAATAAGTTATAAATTTGGACTAGATTATTTTAAGATGAGATGCTAATTTAAATTTCTTTTTAATATTAATTAAATAAGTCCTTTTTCATATACTTTGTGACCTTATATAGAATATTAGAAAGCATAGTAGATGTGGCATCTTCAAGTATTTGATGTTTTTTTTATAAACTAGAATAAAAATTAAAATAGATGTTTTTTAAATCTTATGGAGTCTCTTAGAAGTAAACCTTGAAAATTTTAGAGTTTTACAATAATGGATTTAGAATTACAATCTTTGATTGTTATGTAAAATGTTTTATTAAGACTATCAACAATTTTTCTTTATTAAAATTAAACTTGTATTTATTTTTCTTCTTGTATCCAATCTCTAATTTGGTTGATAAAGACTTACACGTGTTTAAGGCAAGCTAAAAGGCTAATGACTTAAGGATTGGCTTAAAGAGCAACATAGGCTACTTGTAGTTGTCTATGTAGTTTGATGTATTGTCTTGATCTTAAAAATGCTTGTTTCAAACAAAAAAGACATGTAGAATTTTATAAACATTTATATGCAATAAATAAAAGATCCTTTGCTATTATAATTAAATCATATCTTATTATCATGTTGCAAAACTTAGAAATTATTTAGATAATAATTATTCATTTTAAATTTAGATGATTTAGGTTTTGACTTTTGAAGTATAGAAAAAATTTAATTGAAAAATAGTTAAATAATTTTGCATCTTTTCTTAACTTGAATTTTATTTTTATAAAGAGAAAAAACACTAAAATAAAATTTGTCTAGTCTTGCTAAGACCTCTATTCCTTCTCTTCTATTATATCATAAATAATTTAATGACATATCTTTTTTGAAAGAGTCAAATAAATTAATTAATTAGATTCTTAATTAATAAGTATTTCAAATAAATTTCTTAGACTTAATAGCTTGGTAGGAAAATCATGGGAGCTATCTTTATCCAATATGATATAGAAGTTGGATTAATGTATTTTTACTTTGCAATTAATGTTTTATATCAGCAAAACATATACAATGCATTATGCCATGCTTTGCTTTAATGATTGTAAATGAGATCATATAAGTCATTGAATGAAATGCATCGAATAATACAAGAATTCTTTGATTTTTTTAGTAATATAAAGAATCATTTTTTAATTTGATATATTCACAATAGTCATCTCTATAATAAATTATTTAATTTTTTTGACATTGTATTTATTATTTTTGATCATAATGTACATATACACAATGTTTTGCAACATTATAAAGTTATCATTTTTTTAATATATATTTTGAATATTTTAGAAAGAAATATCTTACAAAAACTTACAAATATCAACAAAATGCTTCTTAATTCTAAACAAGTTTATAAACTATCTTAATAAATAAAATAAGATAGGTTCGTACATTCACTTGCTTGTAAAGCTTACGCAATCCAGTAGACCCCAATTGCATTCACAATTATTGCACTAATAATATCTAGTCATACGCTGCATGGTGTCATCCTAATGAATTAGCATTATGATGGACTTTGCTTCCTGGTGGAAACGATGTCATATTGAAAGAGAAAAACACTCACCTAATTCTCATTTTAAGTCAGAACTGAATATGTTAAAATTTAGTTTCCCTTGCATCACTACAACATGTTGACCCAAAATCTCCTTCCACTTGCGTTCCTCCACCCCCAACTGCCTTCATAGGTTCTGCAAGATACAATCTCAATCATCACCGTATTCCCAAATAGAAAAGCTTATAAACTGATTTTCAGTTGAAATAAACGAACCGATTACATTAAGCTTTCTAAATCCTGAAAGATCACTTCCTTGGAAAAACACTGGCTAAATACAGGCTACATTCTCCTGCTTTCCTCTTTCTTATGTCTCCCTCATGAAGTTCACAACTAATTGCAATCTACTCAGAATGTTCAAATATGCTTTTTTCCAAGTTTCATGAGAATGTCACATGTTACATAGAGTATGCACCTGCTTCAGAAAATTATAATTATAACTCTCATTAGATGGTCTCACTACATAAATATACGTGAAATCAAGTATACATTGGACAACGCAGGGATATTATAGCCTATTGACAAGAATCAGCGGAATTCAAGACCTAGCCAACCCACCCTACCTTACGGCATGTTCCCGCCTCCTTTACCATCTCTTACATTTCTAGCCAAGGCGTCGAAATCCGGCCAAAACTCTGGAAAATCGGGCGGACGCTGCAGAATGATAGAGGCTGCGTGAATGAGAATAGCAGCAGTCAAACCCCAGATGATGTATTTCTTGCCATCCGGCGCATCGTAGTCGAAGTAGTGCACACGGTACTGGATGTTCAGCCACTGTCGATCCTCAACGCGGTGCCGCTCATCCTATCAAGCAGAAAAAAAATCTAGAAGTAAATGTACGTCGAAGGCTTAGAGACATTTAAGAAAGAGCTTGCAATGTACCAACCTGCTACGGAGCCCCTTGACTCCATTGGAAGGGGGCTAAAAGAGCATGAAGTGAAAGGAGTTGAGAGTTGATACATTGCAAGCAGATATAGTTGATCCATATCTGCTACGGATACGGATTGAGTGGAAGGAAATGGACAGATATGGATTGAGTGCATGCCTTCAGAAACATCTCCAATGGGACGTCAAAGATGGCGTCCACCTCTCCTGCGTTTGGTCTGGGTTCAAATTTGTGGTGTTCTGGGATTATTCCGACAACTGGAGTCACCGTCAGCAAGTGCTGCACCACCCCAAAGAACGATGTGAGCGTCGGGTAGAGGAGCCAGAGAGCACATGATTAATATTCCAAGCCCTAAAGTGGAAACTACATAATCATGGCGCAAGTTAGACAAAGGAGACCGCTCACTTTGGAAAGGAAAGGTTCAAGAACTGTGACAATCTTGACATGGGAAGGCTCCAATCCAATTTCTTCGTGAGCTTCACGTAACGCAGTAGCCTTGTCGTCCTCTCCTTCATCCCTTTTGCCGCCGGGTAATGCTACCTCTCCTGGGCATATACTAAACATTCATCAGCTACCAAGATAAGTGGGACAGATGAGAAGAAGCAGTGAACAGTGTCCAGGAGCTCCACACTCAATTCAGCGAAAAGTTCATAAAAGGAAACCGCTGAGAAACGAAAAGCTAACCTGAATGAGAAGACAACGAGCTAGCCCGCTTTGTGAGAATCACACGTAGTTCCCGCTCGGCACCTTGGAAAAGACACAGAAGTACAGCAGCTCGCTTGGACTTCGGAGGAACCTTTAGATCGTTGGCATTCGCTATTGATGTCGGCATTCCCACTTGGGACGTCACACCCCCGTGCGTTTCATCGTCTGATGATGCCCACGAGCTTGGTGAAGGCCTATTTGTGACAGAGATGGAATTCGTCGTGAAAAAGCCACATCGTCAAAGAGAATCTCGAAGTAACGTAGAGAAAACATTGAAAAAACATGGAAGTGGCCATTGCTTATCATCAGCTATGCAATTTTAGGGTAACTGATACATTTATCTGTAACGCTTTCTCTGTGCCGCCATACCAGGAGCTTTCAAACTGCTCTTACTGAGTTCCTCCGAGATTCAGTCTCGAATTCCACAAATTCTTCTTATGGTTTGTAAGGATAATGAACCGAAAATAACGCGGAGCAAGTTGAGGCATTCGATGAGAAGATCCTAATTCCGCAGCAGTCCCGCAACCTCAGTACGCATTGAATTGAGGACTTGACGATAGGTACCTGTAATGGCGGAGGCGTTCAGCAAGAACCTTGAGATTCGAACTCCCCCAATCCTCAAATATAGAAGATGAGCGCGATTGCGTGGGGTCAAGAGAAGGATCCAAGTGCAAACCCCTGCTACTGGAGTTGGTCATGGCCTCCACCAAACCCCTGGCCTTCCTCTCTCTGTTCAACCCTAATAGCCTTGCCTTCCACTCTGTAATCAGGTGGCGGGTCTGGGCAGCTGCAAAGCTCAGAGATGCCAGGGTGGGTGACTAGCACTCGCAATCCGACTTAGTATTCACAAATTGGGCATCTTCTGTCTCTGCTAGTAATGGAACCATACAACAAAGTCAAGTCAACTGACTGTACCACCAACGACCTGCTTTGGCGTAGAGACGTGCTGCTGCCCCTACTGACGACCTTCAAGATGGCAAAATCTCCGAGTTCGTCACACGTTCACAATTCCTACGAGAAACAGAAACACGGAGCACATGAAGTAACGTAATCACAAACTCTAGAAGCAAAATCTGTAAAATTCCACCAAAAATTGCGTAAGCATATCGAAATTTACCAGTTTAATTGTGAGGAATTATTGTAACCAACGCAGCTTTTCCGTTCTAGAAAAAATTATAACCCACCCATGAAAAAATTCCCGAGTCAAAAACCTATTTCAGAACACAATATACTGAATTCAGCGCAGTCCTTGGCGATCACAACTGCGCTGAATTCAGCAATTAAAACCTGAGAACTTAGAAATTACAATCTTCGAATCACATGCCAGGGGGAGTACACCAACTGCCGCACTAGCGAATATATGAATATCAAGGGGCATAAATTTTATCTCCAAAGACCATAAAAAAAAGTAACCTTAGCGTAAACGATACTGCAGGGCAAACAAAGGATAGTAAGAGATCGACAGTACTATGCCTTCGAAGGAACTCTTCAATCGTTCCTCGCATTACCACTGACAGTTCCACCAAGAATCAATCAATTTCACGGTGACATGGCCTGCATCAGCACTACCAAATCCAGCAACATTCTATGGTGGGTTATCATCAGGATCAGTCAATTTCGACCTGCTACTAAATTCAATGCTCGACCCATGTCCTCCTGGAAACAATGCCGACTTAGGTGCTGCACCGATGAAAGATTTGTGGCAAGTAATCATTCGCAGGAACATCATCCATTATAGACTTAGGGGGCTTGTCAGAATAAGTAACTTTGTGCTTGGAGATATCGGAATTCATATTAGTCTTAGTTTGAGTTCAATTAATTGAAAGGAGAGAGCTCAAGGCATTTCGAGTGCAATGATTTTAGAATCTAGCAGCAGCTAGACATGCACTAACTATACTGTGTCGTGAATGTCAGAACTTTGGCGAAGAAATGGAAAGCCTTACTAAAAGTGCAGTTCAAAAGCGTTCTGTACTTTAAATCCCTATTGTGAATTTGAAGGAGCTCCCCCCTAAAGCTTCTCATTGTGGATCCAGGCTTGGTACAGCACCAGGCCCCGGAATGTGGTTGTATCCTTTAACGCTGAGTTTGGTTTCATAATCTACATCTAACATTATTGATTTCTGCTGTTTGATACAATCAATTTCACTGCAAGTCTTTGTTAGTGATGATCTTATCAATGTTTAGGGGTTCTCAGTCCCCCTGTGTATCAGGTAACTGTTGTAAGCCTTCCAAGACATCGAACTTCGGATGCTACATTCAGTGAACCAAAGCTCTCCTGAGCTCTATCTAAACTGCAGGGATGCGCGAATTCTCTTCTACTCATGACGGGACCTTCTGTTGCAACGGCACATATCACAACAATTCATGAGTGCCAGTCCACTCGGGGAGTACCCAAAACTTTCTCACCATCGCTGATTAATGATGAATGCCCTTTGCAATCGGCTGCATTCTGCAGCTCGAAACAGTGATGGATGAACTTAGGGTTCCGAACCCTAACCGCAATGAGGTATAAGGGCTTGCACTTCGGCACAACATATCCCTTCAGTGTCTGGTTGTGGCCGCAGCTGAGTACCCGTGTTTCAGATTGTTGCAGGCCCAGCACGCAGCCATGTCGCACAGGAAATTCGAGCACCCCAGGCACGGGTCTCTGGGATTCCTGCCCCGGAAGAGAGCGGCGAGGTCGCGTGGTAAGGTGAAGACCTTCCCGAAAGATGTGGCCTCGAAGGAGCCGCACTTGACTTCGTTCCTTGGGTACAAGGCTGGTATGACTCACATCGTGCGCGAGGTGGAGAAGCCTGGGTCTAAGCTGCACAAGAAGGAGACATGCGAGGCCGTGACCATCGTGGAGACGCCTCCCATGGTGGTGGTGGGTTTGGTGGCGTACATCAAGACCCCGCGCGGTTTGAGGTCGCTGAACACGGTGTGGGCTCAGCACTTGAGCGACGAGGTGAAGAGGCGGTTCTACAAGAACTGGTACAAGTCGAAGAAGAAAGCGTTCTCGAAGTACAGCAAGAGGTACGAGAGCGAGGAGGGGAAGAAGGATGTGGAGTCGGAGCTGGAGAGGATGAAGAAGTACGCGAGCGTGATCCGTGTGCTGGCGCACACGCAGGTGAGGAAGCTGAAGGGCATCAAGCAGAAGAAGGCGCATTTGGCAGAGATTCAGGTGAACGGCGGGAGCATCGCGGCGAAGGTGGACTTCGGGTACAAGCTGTTCGAGAAGGAGGTGCCGGTGGACTCGGTGTTCAGGAAGGACGAGATGATCGACATCATCGGTGTGACCCGGGGTCACGGGTACGAGGGCGTGGTGACGCGGTGGGGAGTGACTCGTCTGCCGAGGAAGACTCACAGGGGTCTTCGGAAGGTGGCGTGTATCGGAGCATGGCATCCGGCGCGAGTGTCGTTCACGGTGGCTCGGGCGGGACAGAACGGGTACCATCACAGGACGGAGATGAACAAGAAGGTGTACAAGGTGGGGAAAGTGGCGGACAAGCAGTCGTTTTCGGCGTCGACAGAGTTCGACGTGACGGAGAAGGAGATCACGCCGATGGGCGGGTTCGCACATTACGGTATCGTGAGGGAGGATTATTTGATGATCAAGGGAGGAGTGATGGGACCGAAGAAGAGGGTGATAACACTTCGTCAGAGTCTGTACAAGCAGGTGTCTCGAAGTGCATTGGAGGACATCAAGCTGAAGTTCATCGACACATCGTCGAAGTTCGGACACGGGCGGTTCCAGACATCGCTTGAGAAGGCGAAGGTGTACGGTAAGGTGAAGACAGCAGCATAAGGGTTACGGTAAAAACTTTGATTTTGAGGTAGAGCAATTGTTAGAGGCTTTGATTATTGTGGGGGCATACACTGGGTGTGTGTAATTGGCCTCTGGCATGTGAATTTGTAAGCTTGCGTTGAAGCTGGTACACCTCTGCCACGCCTACCTACTTCGGCCTGGATCACCGTTGATGGTTTACTTCTCGTAATGACAGTTTTTACTGAGGGTCTGAACCCACTTGGAGTTGTTTACTACGCACTAGTCATATATATGAATGAGGGCTTGCTTTACTTCAAGTAAGCTATGGGCCGCTAGCATGTGCCTATCATGCAATTGATGCCTCTTCTGGCTCTTTGCATGTGCACCGCTGCCATGCCCTCCTTGAATGACTGTTTTGCAGGTTTGAAACTTATTCCATACGTATAATTTGGTACTCTCAGCCTTGTTGTTTTTCTTCAGGCTGTCTTGTTCTAGTTTTATTTTGTCTTCTCCATCATAAGTTGGAGCTGGGTTGATCTCGGCTCTCGTAGGGAGCTGGTAAGTGATTTAATTGCTACTTTGAATTACTGGTGTGGATCACTGGGAAACTTACAAAGGATCGTTTTTCTTCTTCACTTCATTGACTCTATTTCTTTGTTCACTCTTTAAGGTGTCCAAGGACGTGAATGTTGTATTTCTGTTTGCAACCTTCTTTTTGTAACAACGTTCAGAATTTTCGAGCTTGTAATTGTTCCTAGTTGTTTTATGTCGCTGCTGGGACTAACTACTCATCCGCGTAGTGGAAGTAAGTTCGCGCATGGCTGAGTCTCAGTGAACAGCCTGTTATTTGGTGCTCCCTGAGCAAGACCCCCCTACCCGTAGTGATGGAGCGCCTTGTGGATATAGCGGATATACAGTTGGTCATCCGCGACGATGGATGGGTTGTCCCTCTACCATTACATTTGTTCCATTCATTGTTGATAAAGCTGTTGGTTTGTATTTTTTTGGTCTGTGTATCTACCCGTGAAGGCTTTCCACATGTTATGTTGGAATTGTTCATTTCTCGCATCCTGAATCATAGCGCACCATACGCTCGATTCGTTATTCTGTGTGTAAATGTACTCTAGTTAGCCAGGTTAGAACCGAAGATGGTGAGGAAGAATTATTGCCCATCCTACTTGAGCAGCATTAAAGGAATATCTTTTCAATTTAAAGTAAACATAATACGAGTTATATCTTATCAAATTATCCATCACATATACCCACACTTTATTTCAGTTAACGAAACTGATCACGTACACATAAAAAAATTTCTTCAAATTATTGCAACTACTAAAAACCTATTCGTGTTTTCTTCCTTATATTCGTAACAGTTTCACTAGATGTAAATCTAACACATTAATAATAATTTTCAGTTTCTCATTACGTAGTATATACATTTCTTCCACTTCTCTTCATTTTTCCTTCCCTGGAACGGAAGTTCTTAAGTGAAAATTTTAAATTATGTTAAGCAGCGAATAATATTCCTTCTCACCCTACCACATTTCTTTATGAATGATGAGAATTTATCACACGATTTAATGTTATTTATTATGTCTTAACACCATTTCTATAAAACTAACCATAAAACTGAGACACGTTTAAAATTGTTCACAATCTTATGCAAATTTTCGAAGAGAAACGTAAATTTAAGACAGAAGATTTTGAAAAACAATCTATGATATCATACATGTACAACATGTTGAATTGATTATCATGCAGGTCATACAAGCATTATAGTTTTAATCTAATATATTGTTCATAGTTCGTTGTTAAAAGTTTCGGAAACAGTAACGAATAACTATGCTATTATTTTTCAGCTTTTCACAGAAAGTCGTGGGTTTGTTTTTTAAAAATCTCTTCGGCCACTAGAATTATTTCAAAGAACTAAAAGATATGTTGTTTTTAATCATCTAATTTTATTAATCAAATATCAATATTTATGAAATATTCAACGACCGGACAAACTTACAATTTTATCTCGGTCAATAAATAAGCAAACAAGCACCCAAGAGGGAATTCTACAACTTATAAAACCTATTAACCAGAATTATTTGAAACTTTAATCTCCACCTCAAATGAACTAAATGATTGAGTGGATGACTTGGCTTCAAAGAAAAGAGCCAGTTCCAGCAGCGTTGGCATCAGCATAAACCTCGTTGACTGGGCTTCAAACGGATATCAATAGAGATATGTGTATACCCGCCCGGTGCCTCCGCCCGGTTCGTAGCGGTGTCGATGCCACCGCCATGCATGGCGGTGCTGCGTCCTCGTTGTCGGTAGTATTTGTCTCCTCGTCCTCGCATGGATTGTGGGTTTTGATCCTTATTGCTGTGGTCTTACATCTACATGCTCTTGCATTTTCGGCACCTTGTTTTTTCACATCGCTGATGCTTCATTCTTCTGTGATTTTGGGTCTATGGGTTTTTAGGTTAACTGGTCCACTTATCAGACTTTTGAGTATCTTCTTCGTCGGGGATGAATGGTTAGGTCTTTGATTGGGTTTATGGGATCAGTTACAGGTGGTCGAGTTTGATTACAAACTGGGTCGTAATTGCAACTGCTGATGACATAGTCGGCAACAAGTGTAGGTATTTGGGATGAGGGATATGGCAGGCGCTGCACAGGTGCCGACAAGCTTTGGCCGCGAGCTGCGCGTTTGCTTGCTATGCTCTCTCATGAAAACGTATGATCAGGTGTGTTTCCGGCTCTTCCTTTTGACCCTATTCTAAAGCCAAATCGGGCATCTAGAGAAATTATGAAGGCATTTTACCTTGAGTGTGGTTTAGTGGAAGCAATGGTGAAAGGGCCTTTGAATGTCTTGCGTAGTATACTGTGGTACATTTGAAACTTTGCTTTTTTTGTTGTTTCGAAACTCAATTCAAGGAAAATGGGTCAAAAACTATATGTTCTTCGACATGGACAGTCTTACTCCTTGTGGTGGTAAATTGAATTGATGTATTGTAAGTATTCATTCCCTTATTTGCTCTTACATTTGTATTATTATATCTTCCATTTCAACAAATTTTGTTGTAATAACACAATAGGAAGAAAAAGAAAAAGAAAAAAATGTCATTGTCACTTGAAACAAATAAAAGATAGAACTCAACAACAAAAAATATTCTTACAACAATATCAATTTAGAAGTGGATAATTTACAACTTCTAATATGCTTATGTTTTATCAAAAAAAATGACATAATTTATTCTTAATCAAGAAAAGACAATGCTTTTATATTATAAATATACTCTTAGTAATCTATCAAGGACAAGATCTTAAATAATATATTTAAATATGATAGATGTGTCTTAAAGAAAGATGACACAAAGGAAATGCATATTGAAACTTATTACAAATGCATATAGATTTGAGTCACAATAATGCAATTTAGAAAATACACAAAATATATGATTTCATTACAAAGAACTTCCTTTGTACGGTCAACATATGCTACATGTAGTCAATTTTTTAGCAAGGTTTTTAACCTACCTATTACCTATAAATACTAAGTCAAATCCAAGAATTTTCTAAGAAGCTTTTCTTTAAAATATTTTCAAATTTACTTGCTTCTACCTAATTCTTTTAATTTAAATAAATACTAATATTAATATGTATGTCCATATCAATGGCAATGCTAAAAATTTTGGTGCCTAATAGCACATATTTTTGCTAGTAATATATATATACATTTATATCTATGTGTATGTTTGCAAAACTTTAATTGATTAAACAATTGCACTTAACTTACTTCAAAAAAATCTTATGTATTTGTGTATCAAAATTCATTGACAAACTATTTCTACAGCTAAAAAGGTTTAAAGAATCAAATCTAATTGTATTATCTTGAAAAGGAGTATTGTGATGAATCTATAAATTTTGCAATATTAAAAGATTGCTTTTATTTGGATGCAAAGAGATATGATGTTTCTTAAGCTAAATAATTTTATTTGTTCTTCAATTTTAACATGTTGTTTTTTGAAGTTACAAAATAAAAAATTGGAGAGTTGCTTGGACCAAAATAAAAAAAAAAAATTGTACATGTATACATATTAGTATAAGAATAGACATTTTTTTTTTTTTTTTTTTTTTTTTTTTTAACAAATAGAATAAAATTGCACATATTATAATTTTTTATTGTTTATAACTACGAATCATATTTTTTTTGGAATTTTATTTCAAATCTTTTATGTTTAAAGTTTTTTAATATAATATTTGATTGTTAAACTCATTGACAAGTATGATTAGTTTGTGTTTCAAATACAGTAGGCCAGACTGTAATATGGTGACCATGATAGTTGTCATTATGAAAATCAACAATAATTAAACTTTCATCTAGATTCTCAAGCCTTTTGGCATGCCATTAAAAGCTCTTAATAATATTGATGTTTCATTTTTATTTTTATTTTTTAAGTTTTATACATATGTACATACAATAATAACATCAAGTTGTACTATATCAAAAAAGTCATTTTCATGAGAAAAAGAACAAAAAACAGGAAAACAAAGTAACGGCGGGTGATCGCTCGCGGCGCTACGTCACCGACGGAAGATCCAAGCAGGTCCATCGCGGAATTAGATCACAGGTTTCACAATAACTGTCCATGGTGTACATATGCTGTGAGGTGGGTCGCCTCCTCTTTCCGTTCTTCGTGGAGCACTGCGAATTTTGTGAGCATTGAGCAGTCCCAACTGGTTGCTTTCCCGCCGCTTACCACATTTCTAGAGGAGGCTCTTGTCGAATTGCTTCGACAATGCTGGACACGCTTTGTCGCCATTCGGACTTCACCTCAAGGGAGCCAGTTGCAATTGTCGCTTGTCCAGAAGTGGCAACCCCATCTCCAATTATTCCGCTGACGCCCCTTCCCAAACTGGTGACTCATCGATCGACAGGCCTATCCAGCCCAGCTGGTGGGGTTGAGACGCGCAGCAACAGGCAAAGTTTCAGAGTGCAGTGGTGTAGAAGTGTACCTGGCAATGACACTCGTTTGAGTCTTGAGCCTCCGAACGGGTTGCCAGTTTTTGCTACTCTCGAAGAATCGCGTCCACTGTCACTTTGGACCTGACGCGAGTGGGTTTGTGATAACGAGTATGCTGTTTCCACCCATGCGTGGCTGTGTTACATGTGCATGCTTGATCTGGTTTAATACATGTAAGTGGCTTGAAACTATGGCTTGGCCCTCGTCACTGGAAAGAGGATTTGTTATTTTGTTCTTAAGGTGCACTGCATCTGGAACTTGTGGGGGGTGCTTCTATGCATGGTCACATCTCCACTCCAGTCCTGCAATGCGAACCCGACAATCAAGGGCTGGGAATGCCATTGACATGAGTTTACAACAATGCTGAAGTTGTGATCCGAACTTTTCTTCTAACTCTCTGCCGTGGTGCTGAAGAGTTTGCCATTCCATTCTAGCAGGTCTTGCGAGATATCGAAAGGATACGAGAATCCAGTTCATGTTTTGTTGGGAGGAGCATTTAGAGGTATGGAATGAATTTTATGTATTCTTTTGAACGCTCGATCTTCAATGCTGTCTCATCTCTTCAAACCAGAAAGAAAATATAGGGTTTTCGAATCGATAGCCTCCCATCCCTCAGCCCAGTTCTTTTGAATTTTAGGGGTTCGCATATCCTTACTCGCAACAATTCTAGCTGGTGGACTTGTGTTGCGATCTCTGTCTCCATTAATTTGGTTAATCTGACAACTGCCCTTTGCTGGAGGGTGAAAAGGAGTAGTGCTATACTCAGGAAACTTTCAGATTTCAGCTCCGCAGATTGGCACGTTGAAACTATTATTCCAAGAATTAATAACCAACGCAATGTCATTGATTTTACTGGTGTAAACTTGCAGCAGTGTCTTCGCCGCCATCGTCTAGTAGGAACAATTATTTCAAAGCTCTAAGACGGCTGCACTCTTTCTTCTGTTCGACGGGATTAAATGGATAACAGAGAAAGTTTAGTCGCCGGAATGTTAGCTGGTACGTGTTTCTAGTGAGACAGAGTCAATTGCTTAGCAATGAACTGGAACGCTGCGATTTGCGCTACAGTCTTTGCTATGGATATGGTGCCACGCTGGTTGGACTACAATGTGGACAATGCATGCTGCGTGGGTGAACACCTCAAGGAGGAGAATAGAGATCACGTCGTATATACATATGTCCAGAAAAATTTGACCAAACCCTAGATTTCTGTGAGGAGTTTTCTGATGTCTTGTGAGCTTCTCTCGTCGGCAGGTATTACCAAGATGACAAGAAACTGAAGCATCGCTTTCGGGACTGTATCCTGGACCAAGATGGGTCCTGGTCAACAAACGATCAGCGGCGATGTTGAGAAGTTGGCGAGGAGTTCCCCTGGGAGAGATTTTCTGAGCATGGACAAAAGGAAACTAGTAACTGGAGCCCTATGTGTCTCCTTCCTCACTCTCGTGATCGTATCTTACTACATGTACTTTGAGACTCCTGCTACCTCAACGGAAGCCATGGTTTTTCTTCAGGAAAAGCCCTTCCCGAATTCACTCGAGGTATGTTGTCTGTCGCATGTCAGACATGTTTATTAATTTCTTTGCACGGAGTAGGCAATTCGATGTAGTTCATCTGTAATCTCAGCTTGCTACAATGTAGTTTCTATCAATATATTTTGACGTTGAGGGGTTTCGACGCAGGAAGGTACAAATACCTCTTCATTCAACAGTGACACAAACGGAAGTGATTTCCAGGTGCAACCGACTGTGGAAGGCACTGAGAACCTCACAGACACGAATAATCCTGTTACAGGTCCAGCAGAAGCTATCACAGAAGCTGATGCATTGGTGAAGGATACGGACGCGAGTGAGCAGGAGGAAACAAAAGGAGATTCTGAGACCACCACAGACAGCTTGAGTTCAATTTCTGTAGAATCCAGTCCTCAAGTGGATGCAACGGTTGAACCACCGACAGAGCTTGAGGGCCCAAACTTCTTGACTGGTTCATCTATCGGGAATGATACCTCGAAGCAGAATGAAGATGATCTTTCAGACACGGAACGGTCTGATTCGAGTGGGATTGCAATGGAGAGTCCACAGCTCACTAATATCACAAGCCCAGAGAACCCAGGTGGGTACCCGCGACCTCATAACTTCAGAATGTTATTGAGCAGCTTCTATTGTATTCTGTCGCATTTTCTCGAAAGAACACTGATCCGCACGCAAGTCTTCCGACGGTAGCAATCAAGCTACCAGCCGCCAGGTCATCAGCGTCTTCTTCTTTTAGAATAAAAAGCACGTTTATGATGTATAATATTACAATTTCAAAGTTAATAAAAAAACTGATGAACACCCGGGTTTGGTAATCTGCATTACTCATTATTCTTCTGTTCATAACGTAGCTATTTCGATCTCTTTGTCAGCTTATGCATTCTGAGGAAGATATCCATTCCTTTGCCTTATACCTCCCTGATAATATGCTTTCTTCCGTGTTGTAGGGGCCTGTGATTTGTTTGAAGGCAGTTGGGTACCAGACACACGTCCTCCCCAATATACCAACTCCACCTGCAAGTTCATTCAAGGGCACCAGGATTGCATGAAAAATGGACGGCCAGACACGGGGTACCTACACTGGAAGTGGCAACCATACGAATGTGACTTACCTAGAATTGACGCCCGAGCTTTCTTAAGCACCATGCGTGGTCGCTCTGTTGTTTTCGCAGGAGATTCAATTTCTCGCAACCAGTTTCAATCTCTTCTTTGTATTCTGTCACAGGTACTGCAATCAGTCTACAGTCTACTGCGTGCTTTTCATGGACTTGAACTCTGTCTTTTGAGAAAAACTACAAAATCTAGCAAAGAGTGCCTGTTGTGCTTTGAAACACGTCTTCTATACAACTGCGCAACCAAACCCTCCTGTATGACTGTGCAGGCATTCAGAGATTCTTATTCTTATTTCTTCGCTTGAGCTCATGTCCAACATGTTTCGCGTGTTTCAGGCTGAGATGCCGTTTCCGAAGTACCAATCACCAGACTATAAAAATATTGTCTATGTCTTTCCCTCAACCAACTTCACTTTCACAATCCGCTGGTCTCCATTTCTTGTGCACGTGGAAGAAAAGCAGGTCACACGTTCGGACAACGAAACAATAACTGTGCCCTACATTCACATCGATGAACTCGACAAAACTTGGGCTGACTATGCACGCGGCGCTGACATTCTGCAATTATCCACTGGTTTGTCATCATCACCTCAAAGCTAAAGTTTTAGTTCTCACAATTTGCTTCCATATCAAGTTGATTGATTGTGATCCTATGAAGGATGCCTTGTTTGCAGCTTTTGGTGCCATTTTTCATAAGGATTGTTTCATGATTTTCAGGTCAATGGTGGTTTCAGCGCGCCCTTTTCCTGCAAGGCGGTCAACCCATAGGTGGTCACACATGTGATGGATGGGAAACTGAATGTAAGGAGATCGGCTTTTTTGACGCTTACCGCACAGCCATACGTAACGTCTTGCAGGGTATTTTATCGATACCTGGATTCACTGGCACCGTTGTGTTCCGATCCTTTTCTCCTGACCATTTTGAGAACGGAAGATGGGATAACGGTGGCGAATGCGTGCGCACTACACCCGGAGGGGTGGCCATGCTCTACGTAACCAAGTGGATGCTTGACATTCAAAAGGAAGTATTTCAGAACGTTACAGGTATGTGCATAGCGAATTCTCCTCTCATTGTAGGCAAAGACTAATAGACGTGACCGATCTTTATCACCCAGCTTGTCAACGTGTTTAGGATCTTACTAGAAAGAGGACAGTTTTGCCGTCACGGTGTTCCATCTCCATCTCCTCCTCTCTGCATTAACCTTTAATGTCTGACGACGGTGTATAGGTACTTTAAATGCGGCTGACAAGCCCCGAATCAAGTTGTTGAATGTCACGAACATTGCTCAATTTCGAGCCGACGCTCATCCAAACGTGTACAGAACGTTTCAACCTTACTCAAAAGAGCACCAGGGATTCATCCAGAAGGATTGCCTGCACTGGTGCCTTCCAGGTTCCATCGACACATGGAACGATCTCCTCGTGCAATTATTGCAAGATGTAATACATCGCTGATGGAATTCTTCGCCACCACCAGGCTTTTACTTCACTTCTCTGTGTTATCCATTCCGATTGTTATCCATTCCGATTGCAGGAAACCTGCTAAATCCGGCACACCGAACCATGTGTTATCCATTCCGATTGCAGGAAACCTGCTAAATCCGGCACACCGAACCATCCAGAGGGAGACCATCTAGACAAACAGGTGAGTTGACACTCTTTGAAAGTGCATGATGCTTAAGCAATTCTCCAAACTTTGAAACCTAGAGAGAAGTTGGGTGATGAAGATTGCCCACTTTCAATAGAGAAGGGAGTACTCATAGTTTGGAAAGGCACTCAAAGCCTCATTTGGATACTATGGTAGAACGAAGTCAGTGTATAATTTCTATGGCGAAGCTACAGCGTCGAGCGTGCCGAAATTGCTTTGTTGTGCAAAGCTTTCAGTCTCACGTCGTCTTCACGATTCATGGTTTGTAACCCACAATTTGCTTGATCGTGATCAACACAAAATGAAATAGACTGGATTTTATGAAGACAACTCTAGGATGTGAATGAACTCGTGAATAGGTATATTTATTCTTCAAAATTTAGTAACTTCTTTGGATGTGAAGTGAATTTGTCTTCACTTTCAGTTAAGGACATATTCCTTAGAACTTTCTAGAGAGAAGTTTCTAGAACTTTCTACAAAACAAGCCTTTGGAACCTTCTAGAAGAGAAGCTTTTGGAACATTTTAGAGAGAAGTTTCTAGAAGCTTCTAGAAAGGAAGTCTCTGGAACCTTCTAGAAGAGAAGTTTTTAGAAGCTTTTAGAAAGGAATCCCCTGGAACTTTCTAGAAGCTTCCTAGTTAATAGAAGTAGCTCGAGAAGTTTCTAAAACCTTCTAGAAAGGAAGCCTCTGGAACCTTCTAGAAGCTTCCTAGAAGTAGCTCGAGAAGCTTCCTAAGTAGGAGTATATATAGGGATCGAGGCTGAAGAGTTCTTCAGTCTCGACAACACATCTCTTGGAGTTCTAGCTCACTTTTTTGGTGTTGTTCTTGTACTCATCTCTTTAATCTAGTTCTGCCACTTCTTCTTGAACTTCTTGTTAGATTTCAAGTCTGTATTTTGTGTCTGTGACAGTTTGTCGAGACTACACTAACTTGAGATATCAGAGCTAGTTCTTTCTTAGTAGAGTGTGGATTACCCCTCTACTTGAAGGTATACTAGCATTTTTTAGAGGTTGCGGATTACCCTCCTCTAAACTGATACTTCTTCTGTTATAATATTGGAGTCTTATTCTTCTTGGAGAGAGTGGATTACCCCTCTTCTTGAAATTCTTAAGGCATTTTATAGGTTGTGGATTACCTTCCTATAAACCAATATTACCTCTTATAGGGTCATTTTTGTCCTTCTTTTAGAATGGCCGGAGGTCAAGACATTAGTATGACAGAAAGTTTGGAGTCTAAGTTAGATGCTATTATGAATGCCCTCGCTACGTTATCACAAAGAACTGTAGAGATTGAAGGAGTGGTGGCAAGGCTTCATAATGATGGACTATCTAGGATAGCACAATCTAAACTACACCAGCCTCAAATTTCGGTACTTGGAGAAACAACTTTACCTCAGGTTCGACAAGAACCACTAATTCTACAACATAAGGAGCCTCGAGTTAGCCTTCCAGATAAGTTTGATGGAACACGTTCCAAGTTTTGAGGATTCGTCAATCAAATCAAGTTGATAACAGTTTTATAGCCCGAACGATATCCAATGGAGGAGTCACGTGTTGGGCTTGTTGGAACCTTACTTACGGGACAAACTCTATCATGGTTTGCTCATTTGTTTGAGAAACGATCATCCATATTAAACAACTTCGAAACCTTTTTGGAAGCATTTGTGGAAGCATTTGGTAAACTTGATAAGGTTCGATGGGCTATAACAAAGATCCGGTCGCTACGACAAGGGATGCATTCTACATCAGTCTATGCTTCGAATTTCAGGCAATTAGTATGCGACATCAATTGGGATGAAGAAGCGTTGATGAGTCAATTCTATTGGGGTTTAAGAGATGATGTGAAGGATTTACTGTTAACTCTTCCTGATCCACAAACGCTCAATGAAGCCATTAGCCAAGTTGTGAAGTGCGATAATTGCCTATTCCAACGTCACCAAGACCAACGCTCAATACAACATACAATTCGCCATGCTCCAACTATGTCGACAAGCGGTGTGAATTCGCATTCAGAGGTGGAAGACATGCAAATTGATGCGATATATATCAAATCTCTTACTATAGAAGAAAAAAAGCGATGTATGGAGGAAAATTTAAGCTTGTATTGCGGTGGAGAAGGCCACAAAGTCGGAAACTACTCCAAAAAGTAAAATCGAGGCATAGTCAAGACTAGGGGAGTATTTGTTCAAGAAAACGAGGATGCCCAGCCACAGTAGGAACCGTGCGGCTGGACAATGAAATATCCCAACAACAATCAGGTTCCTTTCTTTCTGCCCAACCTGCACTTTGTTTTACAATCCCTCTGTTTATCGGCCCTCAAAAACTGAGAACCTTAGCACTACTAGACTCAGGAGCATCTGCTTGTTTTTTAGACGAAGAATTTGCAAAGCGTCATAAGATCCCTTTAGTACTAAAATCAAAACCTGTTCATGTTGAGGTCATAGATGGGCGACCTTTATTGTCTGGTAGCATCATCCATGAATCAAAACCTATAGAAGTAACGTTTAAAGACCATAGTAGTCATATTATTTTTAATATTATTAGAACCCCATCAAATCCTATTATTCTTGGTCTTTCTTGGTTGGAAAAACATAATCCATTGATAGATTGGAGGTTGCGGAAGATGACTTTTCCCACAAAACCACCCAAGAAAAAACCTAGTAAAAAACCTCGAAAAAAGAAATCCTTACTCATTGGAGCAAGAACGTTTATAAGATCATCTAAGGAAGGCATTCCATTTGTCATTTATGCGGCTCCAACTACCGAGGAGAAGATCTCAACAGCAAGTATACCGGAGCAATATAAAGATTTTGAAGACGTGTTTCAAAAGAAGAACGCCGACATACTACCGGAACACCGACCATATGATTGTGCCATAGACTTGCAAGAAGGAGCACAACCACCTTTTGGCCCAATCTACAATCTATCGCAAATGGAGTTGGCAGAGTTACAAAAGTACATCGACGAGAATCTAGCCAAGAACTTCATTCGTCATTCAAAATCATCAGTTAGAGCACCCATCTTATTTGTGAAGAAGAAAGATGGATCATTACGGATGTGTGTGGACTATCGAGGCCTCAACAAGGTAACAAAGAAAAATCGTTACCCATTACCCTTGATTTCTAGTCTCTTAGAACAACTGGGACGTGCGAAGATCTTTACAAAAATTGATTTAAGGGGAGCTTATAATCTCGTACGAATCAAGGAAGGAGATGAGTGGAAGACAGCATTTCGTACAAGGTATGGTCATTTCGAATATAATGTCATGCCTTTTGGTCTTACCAATGCTCTAGAGGTTTTCCAACATATGATGAATGACATCTTTCGAGAACACCTCGACGATTTTGTTGTCATCTACTTAGACGATATTCTAATATTCTCTAAAAACGAGGAAGAGCATGAGGAGCATGTTTGTTTGGTCTTGGAGAAACTACGCAAGCGAGGACTATATGCCAAATTAGAAAAGTGTTTATTTCACCAAACGGAGATGGAATTTTTGGGGTTCATTGCGACTATAGAAGGTTTGAAGATGGACCCCAAGAAAGTAGAAGCAATCATGTCTTGGGAGGTTCCGAAGACGGTTAGAGACGTACAATGCTTTCTTGGTTTTGCTAACTTCTATCGGATCTTCATCTAGAATTATTCTCAAGTTGCTGCTCCTCTCACTCGATTAACATGCAAGGATAAGTTGGAATGGGGACCTTTGGCGGAGAAGGCGTTTCAAGATTTGAAGACAGCATTTACTACAACTCCAATTTTGGTACATCCAGACTTTACAAAGTCCTTCTATTTAGAAACTGATGCTTCAGATTTTGCTTTGGGAGCTGTACTTTCACAAATGAGTGAAGATAAGAAGCTCCATCCAGTTGCATTCTATTCTCGGAAGTTCTCTGTCGCTGAAATCAATTATAAGATCCACGATAAGGAACTTCTTGCTATAGTGGATTCTTTCGAAGAATGGCGTCACTTTCTTGAAGGAGCTGCACATCCAGTAACCGTATATACAGATCACAAGAATTTGGAGTATTTCATGATGGCTCGAGTTTTAAATCGGCGTCAAACTTGGTGGAATATGTCGCTATTTAGATTCGATTTTGTTATCACTTATCGACCTGGAAGGCAGCAAGGACTATCCGATGCTTTATCAAGGAGATCGTATCTTGCACCAAAGGCTGGAGAAGCAACGTTTGATCAAGAATGTACAACGTTATTGAAGCCAGAGAGATTTCAACTTTGTGCTACTATTGTATCATTTGATGCTGACTTCCTAAACCAGGTACGTGCTATGACCATTAAAGATTCAGTAGCCATTGATATCAAGTAACGTACCAATGATAACAAGTTCAAGGTGGAGGGAGATCTTTTATACTTTGAAGAGCGATTGTACATTCCAAAAGGATTAGCACGACTCCGAGTTCTTCAATCTCGCCATGATTTTCCAACTGTGGGACATTTTGGATTCAACAAGATCTTGGAGCTTATTTCCCGAGATTTTTGGTGGCCCCAAATGTGGAAGGATGTGAAAGATTTTGTCCTCTCTTGTGACATCTGTTCAAGATCTAAGAATCCTCGGCATCGCCCTTATGGACTTCTACAGCCATTGCCAATTCCATGTCGACCATGGTCTTCAATTTCTATGGACTTCATCACGGATTTGCCATCATCAAACTCATTTGACAGCATCTTTGTCGTGGTAGATCGGCTTATGAAGATGGCACACTTTGTTCCTTGTAAGAAGACATCGTCCAGTGAAGTCACAGCAAGACTCTTTCTCAATAATGTGTATCGATATCATGGACTACCAGATGATATCATATCAGATCGAGGTACCCAGTTCGTGTCAAAGTTTTGGAGATCTCTCTTTGGGATATTGAAGGTGGATATCAAGCTTTCTTCAGCTTTTCATCCTCAAACTGATGGCCAAACGGAACGGGTGAACCAAGTCTTGGAGCAGTACTTACGATGCAGCATCAACTATCAGCAAGACGATTGGACTGCATATCTACCGCTAGCCGAGTTTACATATAACAACACCCTCCATGCGTCGACTCAACAAACACCATTCTTTTCCAACTATGGGTATCATCCGAAGCTTGATTTGTTGAGTCCGTCAATAAATAACAATCCAGCAGCTGAAGGATTTGCGAAGCAACTATCAGAGCTTCAAACTATGTTGAAGCTTCAATTATAATCCGCTCAAGAATCCTATAAGACGTCTGCAGATAGATTTCGGAATCCAGCACCTACTTTCAAAGTTGGAGACAAAGCCTGGCTTCTTCGACGAAATATCAAGACCAAGCGACCATGTGATAAGTTGGACTATCA